CTTACCACTCAACTGATCTTGTTGGAGTGGAGTTATTTTAAAAATAAATAAATAAAACTTTTTATTTGCATTGTGATTTTAACAAAAGTTTACAGAAAAGTTGGATTTTCATTATTCATTGCTGCTCATTTTACCCCATCTTCTTTCCTTCTCTCTCCCCCAAGATTTTTTTAAAGTATTTCTTCATTGTTACACAATTACTTTCCCTCCCTCTCCCCAGTCCTCTTTGCAGTGTACCTCTTCTTCTGGGCTGTTGTGTGTATTATGTCTAATCATAAATTCCTTTTAAACAGTTCTTTCCTTCATCTGTTTCAATGCAATCTTCTTTATGTATCCACTCTTATCCTAGTCTCCTCCTAGCTCCCTATGGCAGATCTGCTTTATTTACAGTAGTAAAGAGATGGAAGCAACCCAAGTTCTTATCAACAAATGAACATAGAAAAACTATGGTATATTCATACAATGAAATACTAAGCAGCACTGAAAAACAGTGAACTCATAAAACATAACGCAGCAGGGGTGACCCTATAGGACATTAGGCTGAGTGAAAGATCTCAGTCACAAAAGGACGAATACTGCATAGCACCACTGTTTTGGAGTTCTTATACATTAATAGAAATGACAGAGGCAGACAAAGACAGACATGTAATCCATCTACATGACAAGGAATCCTTGAGGCTTCCGGAAGCCAGGAAAGACAAGAATCTTCCCCTTAGGCCGCCAGGAAGACCAGGGCCCTGTGATCATCCAGAATTCAGAAATCAGCTTCTGGCACCACGAGAAAATAAATTTTGGTTCATAATTGTGATTTTTTTTAAACGGCAGGGCCGCAACACTAACATAGATTTTGGGTTTTTAGACTGTCACGCCTATGGTAAGTAAGCATTCCGTACACCCTGAGGAAATGCCCAGTTCTCAGGTGTGTCAGAGTGGTCTTGGCTCTCCTCTCAACACCATCCTCTGGGTGGGATCTAATTTCTTCATCAACTAGCTCTTCAAACCAGTTCAATTTCAGTTTGACTCTGCTGAAAATATACATTTCCAACCCAGGTATACTGAATCTGAGTCTATTTTTTGATGTTGTGGGTTTTAAAAAAATTTATATTTTTAGTGAATGTTTATAGAGAACTTGGATTTCCATTAATTCACTGTTGTACATTTTCCTCCCTGCCCACCCCTTCTCCCAGTTCACTTTTCTCTTTGGGAAAACAAAAAAAGTTCTTTCATTGTTATACAATCCCCTGCCACCAGCTCACTTTACTATGCAGCTCTTATTCTGGACTGTTTTCATGCAAATAATACCTAATCATATATTCCTTTTAAACAGTTCTCTCCCTCATCTGTTTCAATGCAGTACATATATTTATCCCCTCCTTTCTTAGTTTTTCCCCAACCTCGATGTCAGTCCTGTTTTATTATATTGGCATTATGCAGTATTTGTTCTTTTGTGACTGAGATATTTCACTCAACATAATGTTCTCCAGGGTCACCATTTTGTATATTTCATGAATTCCTTGTTTTTCAATGCAGCATAGTAGTCCGTTGTGTGAATATACCACAGCTTCTCTAACCATGTTTGTTGATGGGCACTTGGGTTGTTTCTCTTTGCTATTGTGAACAAAGCCGCAATAAACATGGGTTTGCATATATCTCTTTGGGTGACAGTTATGATCTCTTTGGGGTATATTCCCAATAGTGGAGTTGCTAGGTCAAATGGTATCTCTATTTGCAACTTTTTGAGAAAGCGCCATGCCGCCTTCCACAGCGGTTGCACCCTTTTACACTCCCACCAACAGTGAATAAGGGTTCCAGTTTCTTCACAATCTCATCAGAATTTGTTATTTGCTGTTCTGTTAAAATTTGCTATTCTGACTGGGGTGAGTAATATCTCATAGTTTTTATTTGTATCTCTCTTAGATCTAGGGATTTTGAAAATTTCCTCATGTGTTTGTTGGTCATCTGAATGTTTTCTTTGGTAAAGTGTCTTTTCATGTCCTGTGTCCATTTTGTGAATGGTTTGTTTACCTTTATCTTGTTGTGATGCTCGAGTATTCTATAAATTCTAGATGTAAGTGCTTCATCAGACACGTCACTACCAAATTTTTTCCCCAGTCTATGGCTTTTCTTTTTACCTTGTTGGAAAAGTTTTTGGATGAGCATAGGGATTTGATTCTTAGAAAGTCTCATTAATCAATTTTATCCTCTCCTGGTTGTAGGCAGAATCTGCATTTTAATAAGATCCACAGGTGACTGAACTTTGAAGCCTTGATACCAAACCCTTGGAGCCCTCATCCTTCACCAGCCAGATGAGAAAACCTCTTCCTGTCATGGGTTATAAATCTTATGTCTCAACTGATTTCAAACAGTATTAATCTAGTATTTGTGTGTGTGTGTGTGTGTGTGCAACATTACAATAAATGCTTCATGTACTCTCTCATTTGGTACTTATACCAAGCTAATGAGGTAAGAACTATTATGAGGGAAGTGAGGTTCTCACGAGTCACAAAACTTGAAACTCAAGCTCATTTCCAATAATTTGGAACCAATTCATAGCTGACCCTCCAGTGAGTTTTCTGAAGCTGTAAATTGCAAGGGAGGACATTGCCCCTTTTTTCCCTCCAGCAAAGTCGCTGGTGGATTTGAACTGCTAGAGAGGAGTCATTTGGGGATTAGCGGTGCAGCTCCCTATCCACTAGGCCACCAGAACTCCTTAGATGAGTTACAAGCTGGTTGGAAAAAAATATTAGTCAACATTCAAGCCTAGGATAGTGTGACTTAATGGATGACATTTGGAAACACTTACTAAAGGTTCTCTGGCTCCAAGTCATGGTATTTTCAATTGCTTCCTATGCTTTTTAAAGTTGGACCATGAACAAAGACGTCAGAGAATTGACAGATGTTAGAGAACTTCTTATCCTCTGGACTGCCAAATGAACAAACAAAGGTGTCTTGGAGGAAGTGGAACCAAGGAGCTGCTTGGAGGTCAGGGTGATGACACTTCATCTCATCTACTTTGGGCATGTTGTTAGAAGGGGCCGCTCCTCAGAAAAAAGACATCGTGCAAGGACAGATAGAGGAGGGTAGAGAAAGAGAGGAAGATCCCCAACAAGATGGATTAACCCCATGACACGCTTTGAGTTTAGCAGAGACGGTGAGGGCGGCACAGACTAGGGCAAGGTTCACACTGGGAATCCACCTAACAGCAACAACAACCGAACGTGGGCGCCCCCGCTGGTGGAGTGGTAACACACTGGGCTGCTAGCCAAAAGGTTGACAGTTTGAACCTACTAACCATTCCTCGGGAAAAAGCATAACATTCTCCTCCTGTTATGATTTACAGTTTCCCACATCCAATGTATGACAGGAAAATTGATGATTTTGAGTTGTGGTGTTGTTGTAATTTCTACTTCTGCTCTTATTTTCCCCACATCCTGGTGGTTCTGTTTACCCTAATAGCTCCTGGCTAAAATCGGAATAAATTGGAGAATTCTCATTTAATGTCTACTAAGATAGTTCTTTCTGAAGTTGTATCCTATCTAATTCAGCACCATCAAGTTGCTCCTAACTCACTGTAACTCTGTAAGACAGAATGGAACTGCTCCTTAGGATGTGAGGCTGTAAATCTTTACAGAAGCAGAACCATTACATTTTTCTACCTTGGAATAGCTGGTGGATTCAAATCACTGACCTTCTGGTTAGCAGTCTAAATCTTAATCCACTGTATAATGCTCCTTGCATTGCTTCTAGTCAGAGGAATTGACCTTAAGTTAAGCATTCTTCTTCCCAGTGTAAACTAGGCCAAAATCCCACCTGTATTTTTATCTGTTTATTTTTCAAGTGAGATTAGAAAAATTAGGCTCTTTCACTCATAAATAATACTTTTTTTTTACCAGAATTCAGACTTATCTGAAAAAAAAAAAAAGAAGAAAAAAGAAAAGACAAAAGCCCCAGAGTGGCTAACAGTGGAAGAAATCCCTTAAGAAAGGGAGACAGAGACTACTGATTTCCAATTGTATTTTACATTCAGGATCCCTTCAGATAAAGCATTTTCTTCCTGCCCCAGTTCTGATTTATTTTCATATTCTTCCCCTACTCCGATCTCCAGGCTTCCCTGGGGTGTCCTGAGGATGCATTCCCTGAAAAATGGGGCCTCTTTTCACATAAGTTATCAGCACAAATTCAACCCACCTAGAGGAATATATAATAAAAGTGACTGGGGGAAAATAATGAACACTGCATTGAAACAGATGAGGGAAAGAACTATTGAAAAGGAATGTATGATTAGGTATTATCTGTCTGACAACAGTCTAGAATTAGAGGTGCATAGCACAGTGGATGGGGGAAGGGAGGAAACTGTGCAACAATGAAAGAACCTTTTTAAGGAGAAAAGTGCACTGGGGGGAGAGACGAAAATGCACAACAATGAATGAATGGTAATCCAAGTTTTCTGTAAATTTTTGTTCAAGTGTTAATAAAAAAATTTTCAAAAAGATAAAAATAGTGACAATTCTGACTGGATTAATGAGACAAATATATTTTTCTCAAATACTAATTTATTAATAAGTTTATTATTTACTGATAAAAAAGAACATATTTTTGGCTTTGAGATCATGGCATAAAACAAAAGGGAAAAGAACTGAAATTTATCAGCTGCAAGTAAGTAGAAGCAACTCATGCTGAACCAAGCGCCACAGCTGGTGCTTTCAGCTGGTGCAGGGGCGTCAATCACAGTGAGACCCCAAGACGTGATGCCAAGCCTGGCCCATGCTCTCCCTGGAAACTGCTCATTTCCACAGGGGACCTGGTGGTCTTTCATGTGTAGGGAAGTAGGCCAGCCACTCTCCATTTTCCTTCTGATCTTTAGTGGAATGAACAGTAGGTAGGGATGCTTTTGACACTGGTCTTTCTAGGTGGTAGGAGAGCAATGATGGTGTTTTCACATGTTTATTCTATTGATTCTCAGCCTTTGAAAAAAGAAAATTGCTAAAATGACCTGGGAATAGAAGCCATTTCTATTTTTGGTCGGTTATCTGCTGCAGACAGAGCTTCATGTAGGAATTCTTATTGCGGATTTCTATGACTGCGTCCCGAACAAGCTCGATAAACATCTGTGGCCAGAGCCTTTGCAAAGCCTCGTTCTTCATGTTGATTTCTGTGGCTTCCTTCACCAGTTCATCTACATACATCTGGCAGAATTTCTTTTTTTCCTTTATTTCCTGTCAGAAAAAAAGAACATTTTTGTGTTAAAAAGCTAACCCCAAAGCCAAAGCAACAGCAGCTGAACTATAGAAACTAGAATGATCTACCCTGAGCCCTTACTCCATCCTCTAGGTTCACGCGAGTCAGAGAAAGCCAACTCACAGGCTTCAAATGGTAAATGTATGCAGTGGCTACTGTGAATTTAAGTTGGCATAAGGTCAGTTAATATTTATATGTTGTTGTTATTAAGTGCTCTTGAGCTGTAGACGACTCATAGCAACCCTATGAATGAAAGACCTGAACACTTGTATAACTTTCATTTTTTCTCCATCTTCATAGAATTTTCAGAGGCAAGCTATTTCAGAAGCGGATGCCACTCCTGCTTCCAAGCTTGTTTTACTCGGGAAACTCCACCAAACACTGTTCACCATGGGTAATCATTATCACATTTGACACATCAGTCCCACAGTATATAGCATCATAGCAACCACTAGTTACCTCTGTACAGCAAATGGACAGACCAGGGCTATATCAATTAGAAGAATGTTTGACCAAAAACAATTAAAACCTTTGGCTTGGTAGCATAACTTCCTACCCACTAGGCCAACTGAGCTCTCTAAGCTGTTATTGTTATTGTTGTTAAGTACCATCGAGCTGTAGACGACTTATAGTGACCCTATGAACAAGTCAACATTCCACCCTAATACTCATCAGAACCAGCAAATAAAACTCTGTAGAATCTGGCTTAAAAGAAAACCAGCCCCTCATTGATATGGAGTCAGAATCAACTCATAACTGACCCTCCACTGGGTTTCTGAGCCTGTGAACTACACAAAAGGATGCTGCCCAATTTTTTTCTTCTGTGAAGAATAGATTTGAACTTCCAGAGATGTGCGGCCCTTAACAGTGACACTCTCTATGGAATAGGCTACTATGTTCTGTCAAAATTTAAAATATTTCAAATTCACTATTACAGAAAAACATGTGAAAGTATAATAAATTAATGCATGAGGTTTAGAATGTTTTGGGCAAAGTCTGAGGGGAGAAAAGTGTACAAGGAAAAAGAAATACACTAGATGGGGACCTATAGCTTTGTCTTCCCCAGAGGACACTCAACTTGAGAGAGTGACAGTCTATATAAACAAAACCCCAGGGTCCTGAAGCAAGTGTGGAGCCAAGGGATAGGTGGGCATTAGACCCCACTTACATCACATAATTCTAAAAAACACTATGTTATTGAGAGTAATAAGTCTTTAATTTGGTTATAGACACTATTGAGGGATATCAAAGCAGAATAACAGGAAAAATCAATGGAATGGGTTAAATGATTATTTTAAATGGGAAGTAATTCACATCATGAAGGAGGAAAGGAATAAATGTCAACGATATATTAGTTTTGTTGTTTGTTGTTGTGTACAATACAGTTGGAACTGATCCATAGCTGACCCTCCTGTGGGTTTTCAGAGGCAGTTAAATGCACAGGAGGAGAATGACCATCCTTCTCCTGTGGAGAAACTAGCTGGTGGCCTCAAACTGCATGCCTTTGGGATTGAAGTGCAGCTTCTTGCCACTAGGCCATCAGAACTCAAATTATTAGCTTTAGTACAGGATTTATTTAACTTTTAATTTATACCAAATTGCCAAAAGATTTTCAAGAAGAATTAAAGGGCAGAATGAAAATTATCAATAGATATTACCATTAAGATTATACAAAGAGATGGAAGCAACCCAAGTTCCCATCAACAAATGAATGGATAGAAAAACTATGGAATACTACACAGCACTGAAAAACAGTGAATTCATAAAACATTACACAACATGGGTGACCCTGCAGGACATTATGCTGAGTGAAATATCTCAGTCACAAAAGAAAAAATACTGCATAGCACCAATGTTACAAAGCAAGTCTGACATGAAGGTTTGGGAGGAGACTAGGATACGAGTGGATAGTGAACATTGCATTGGAATAGATGAAGGAAAAAACTGTTTAAAAGGAATATATGATTAGGCATTATTAGCCCACAATTAGAGGTGCACTGCAAACAGGATTGGGGAGGGGGTGGGAATTGCGCAATAGCAAATGAATATTTTAAAAAAAGAATGGGGGAGGGGGAGGGAAGGGAGGAAGAGGGGGTAAAAATGTGCCACAATGAATGAATGAAAATTTAATTTTTCTGTAAACTTTCATTAAAAATCACAATTAAAAGAAAAAAATTTAAAAAATGAGGAAAATCTTACATTATGAGGCTAAGTGAAAAATTAAAATTCAAAATAAAATTATTAGTAGGTAAACAGGCATAGGAATATTTTGACAGGGTTTGAGTTATATATGTGCATGTACACTTGTCAAAATTGGCAGCAGCTGAATGCCAAAAATTTGTGCTTCATGCCATATAAATTTTACCTCAAAAGAAAAATAAAATCCTGTATCAAATAATCAAATATTCAACTCAAATTAATGATGGGCATGTTGTATTATTTAGAGAGATGTGTATTAATGTATTGAACTGATTTTGAAATGAATGAAAAATAAGATTGAGGAATGGATAGAGAGAGATAGATGCACAGAAATATAATAATACCATACAGTACAATATTGACAGTAGAATCCAGGTTTTGAGTGTATGGGTATTTCCTGTGACATTCTCTCAATTTCAGAGGATGTTTCAACTTTTCACTAAACAGTATTTTAAAAGACTGGATATTGAAGCATGATCAAGGCTGTCTTCAGGGCATGAGACCACCAGTTTTCCCCTTTGCAAAGCAACAAGATATATTGATATATATGATTCATAAATATGCTACCAATGCACCCAGATTGTTACCAACTTTATCTGAAAAGAGGCACATTTTGGTAATTTTCTTATGATGTGTAACATCTCTCTAAATTGTCATCATACAAAGGTAACACAATTAATTTTGTTTACTTCATGTGCTAAGAACACCAGGTCTTGTGCTGACCTTATCACACAAATATGCACACGGTTTGAATGGCTATAAACAACACACAGAACCAGCTGCCTGCTTCTCAGATGAAACTAATTTTGATCTCTATAATACAGTCTAGGACTTGGTCACCAGCACTCAGCTTACTGATGAGAAAAGTGTTAGCTGCACCTTTTGAACAGTCTGAATCTGGGCTACCCCAAAACAGGAAGAAGGGCAAGTGTCACTCACTAAAGGAATCCCATTTATGGATCACAAAATGAACACTGTTATACAATAAACATGCATTTATTAGCAAAGCATAATTGTTGTTGTTGCTGTGAGGTGCCTTCGAGGTGATTCAACTCACAGTGACCCTATAAACAACAGACCTAAACCTTGTCTTATCCTGCAGCATCCTCAAAAGCAGCACCATGCTCAAGCCCCTTGTTCCAGTCACTGTGTCAAGCCATCTCCTTACGGGGATTCTTCTCTTTGGCTGACCCTCTACCTTTCCCATCATTATGTCTTTTTCCTCCTGACAACATGCTCAAAGCATATGAAAGAAGTTTCACTATACTTGTCTCTAAGGAGCACTCGGGTTGCATTTCCTTCAAGACAGATTTATTTGTAAAATGGTACAGCTGCTATGGAAGGTGGTCTGGTACTTTCTCAAAAAGTTGGAAATAAAAATATTATTTAACCCAGAAATTCCACTACTGTGAATATACTCTAAAGAAACCAGAGCCACAACTCAAACATATATATGTACATCCATGCTTATTGCTGCATTACACACAACAGCAAAGAGATGGAAACAACCTAAGGGTCCATCAGCAAATGAATGCATAGTACATTCACAGTGGAATATTACACAGCACTGAAAAATAATGCCCTGGTAAAGCACTACACAACATAAAACTGCATGGAGGACATTGTTGTTGTTGTTGATTGCTGCCAAGTTGAACACAACTTATAGCAACTCTTTGAACAAAAGACCTGATCCCTGTTCTAGAACTCTCATCGTTTCTCTAAGTTCATAGAGTTTCCAGAGGCACGTTGTTTAGAAAGTGGTTGCGTCTCCTGCTTCCAAACCTGTCTTAATCTGGGAGTTCCACCAAACACTGTCCACTATGGGTAACCATTATGGCATTTGACACACCAGTGGTACAAAGTTCAGCATCACAGCAATCCTAGGTTACTTCTATAGAGCAAACTGACAGACCAGTGCTGTACCACTTAAAAAATGTTTCTCCAAAATATAATAACACTAGCACGAGAGCCAGAGGCCCTCAGGCCCAAACAACTTTTAAATACAAAGGCTCTCCACCAGGTCCTGTTGACTCTAAACAAGAGGTGTAAAGTAAAAAAAAAAAAATCAACCAAACATTATACAACTTATAATTTTGTTGTTGTTGTTATGTGCCATTGAGTGCCTGTGACCCATAGTGACCTTAACACAGCAGCTCTGAATCTTTCCCTATCCTGAGCCAATTGCAATAATTCTGACATAGTACTACCCATTGCACTAGTTACTGTATCAATCCATCTCATCCAGGGTCTTCTTCTCCTGCATTGTTCCTCCACCCATCCAAGCATGATGTCCTTCTCCAAGGACTGGTCTCTCCTGGTCATGTGCCCAAAGTATATGGGATGGAGCTTCAAAATCCTAGCCTCTAAGGAGAAATTTGGTTTCACCCTCTCCAAGACAGACCTATTTGTTTTCTTGGCAGTACTTGGTATGTTCAAGACTCTTCTCCAGCATTACAACTTGAAGGCATCGACTCATATTCTGTCATCATTGCCCAGCTTTCTAAAGCATAACAAGTAACTGTGAAGACCATGGCCTGGATTAAGCACACCTTAGTCTCTAGACTGACATCATTGCTTTTCAGGACCCTGGAAAGGTCCCTGACAGCAGATTTTCTCAATGCAATTTGTCTTTTGATTTCCTGACTGATAGTGTTAAGGGTATTAATTGTGGAGCCAAGCAAGCTGTAATTGCTAACAACTTCAATCTCTTTCTCCAGCTAACATGGTGCTGTCAATTGACCCAGCGGTGAGAATCTTTGTCTTCTTGGTGATAAGCTTC